GTCATTCCAAGTTCATTTAGTTCTCCTAAATTGTTAAGTTATTTAATTAATTTTGAATTAAAAAATATCAAAAGAATATTGATAATCCAAGCTGTTTTTTTGTATACTTCTACATCTTAAGTCTAAATTAGCCTATGGGTAAAGGCCTTAGTCAATTCACAGTTTTATAATGAGAGTTATGCAAGTTAGACCGATAAGGGTATATCTATAATTATTAGAATCCTTTACAAACTCACCTCTAGGTTAAGTTTGAGCTTGCAACACCTATAGTGTTCTATTACCTTCATCTCACTTAACAAGTTTCACTTTGACTCTCAATGATTAGAAGTTATGCTTAGCTCACTATAAAACTCTTAGAGTTTTAGGGGTGTACTTGTAATTTTTATAAAATACATTAGATCTCATCAAGAGGAAAGTGGAATGCTCTCCAACTAATGGTGGGAGTTTAAATGAGTGAATTAAGGAGTTTCCAAGTTATATCTCTCACCATCCATTCATCCAAACTCTTACATCTTACTACTTCAAACAATTCACATATTTACATTTTTACCTTTTCAGAAAACTCTAATATGTTGGTTACTACCCTAATCATTCCTTTCGGTTTCAAACACTCAAGCAAACTTATTATCATAAATTTTAATCCCTCGGCCTCTGATTCACCCTACAGTTAATATGTAAATACCATATTTGCAAATATATCCCTATGGTAAGCACCCTATAACTCTTACATCATTACTCCATTCACTATTAAACTTAATTGACCATTCACCCATAGGCTAATTAGCACTTCAAAAGTGAATTTATATTTTTCTGATGTATATCTTATTTTTATAATTATTTAAATCAATAAATATAGGATTTTAAAGAAAATACATTTAGATAATTAAAATACAATGTCTATCTTTAAAAATTTTATGGGGACATCTTAGGGCTATTATCTTTGATCAGAGCAATTTTTTTGTTATTTTGAATATATTTAAATTACTATGATTTTTAATCATGTTTTAATATGAAAATTTTTTTATAATTAATTTTATAATGCTAAATCTCATTTTTTTTCCTTGACACCTCTGACTTTGTTAAGTTCACCAAAATTTATCTCATATTTTTTCTAATTTTTTTTTTATTTTTTACTAGCATTTTAATTATACAATGGACCTTGGCATAAAAAATTAGGGTTTTTAGAGTTAGAGGTGTCCTCTAACCTTGGAAAAATTAATGAACCTCCTAAACTACAGAGGAAATGAACCCCTCAAATTTCATGTAATGGTGATTAATTTTTAATTTTTAACTTTTAACAATTAAAATATCCTCCAGTTATTTAATTAATTAAAAATTAGTTATGACATAATTATTTTGACTTTTATTTTTATTAATTTCTTCTCTGTTCACCTAGTTTAAAGGAATTTTTATTTTATTTTTATGATTTTTCTTTGAAAAGATATAAATTTTTAAAGTTAAATATATTTTTTGTTAGTTAAATAAATCAAAAACCCCAAATTTCCTACTTAAGTGACTCACGGCTGACCGGATCCTTGGCGTCTCCAAAAGCCCACTCGTTGCTCCGCTATTTGTCGCGATTTACACATGGTTGTCACGTCACCTGCAGTTCGTAAATCTTGGGTCGCACTGTTTAGCCAACTAAATTGATCTGCGTCATTAGTTTCAAATACACAGAAACATAAGATATCGATTTACTGTCATCACGGGACAGTGAACTGAGAACCGTCTGTGATCTAAGTTTAAGATCTCACTCGATTCTCAACCAAATTATATGGGGTTTGTTTCCAAACTTTCATCTCAGTGAGATTAACATATCTATACGGCTAAGTGAACATGAATTATTGAGTCTCTTCACAAAGGTCCAAATAGAGGCAAAATTGCAGATTTTGAGCTTATACCTTTGTCCAAGATGTGAGGCCTCAATTGGAATGGTTGAGGAGCTTCGTGTGGATGTGACACACTTCTTCCTAGCTCCAATTTGCACTAAGGTTGAGCCTAGGTATGACATTGACAAAAAGGTAAATTGGCTTTGGCCTAGCACTAGGTTAGAGGTTGTGGGAGAGGAGGGTTTTAATCGGAGAATTGATTTTATGTTGTGGGGAAGCTTTTGTAAGACTTAATTTAGAGTATTGAAACTTTTTGTGTCAAATTTGTGAAGAGTTTTGGATTTCGAGGCAAAATTAAGGTTTTGGAGGCAATGTGAGGCTTAGGAATGATGGGGTTAAACTTTGCAAGGTTGTAGGAATAGTGTGGATTCAATTTGGCAGGGCTTCACCAAGGTTTTAACACTCCTCAATTTTCGGTCATGGGGCGGTCAATTTATAAGCTCGACCATGGGGCTTCAATTGGCCAGTGTTTGGGTTGAAAAGTGGCATTTAGGTGGAGCTATGACAAAGACAATGGCTCAATGGGGGTAAGCCACATTGGGTGGGCTCAATTTTTGGTTCCCCTCTTTTGATGGATCTCGGTTTTGAACTTGCCACTGGTCATGGTGGATAGCCAAGGCATGGGTGGTCGTTTTCCAACTGAGGGAGGTTGGGGGTGGAGATTGGTGAAGCCAATTTGGTTGGAGCATGGGTAGGTATGCTTGATTTAAATGGAAGGGGGTGATTTTGGGTTGACCTTGGGGCCTAGTCATGCATTTGGGCTTGGCTCACCCACCATGATGGTTGGAGTTGGTGTATGGCATGGGGCTTGGGT